TGGTGGCCATGTCCAGTTGTGGAGGTGAAATGATAAGCTATCCCTGGATGTGGTGGATTCTGGTACTTACTTGATTTGGTCCTGATTATTTTTTGCTGTGTGTCCAGGCATAGCTTTGAAAGGAATTCATTATTATGTCTCTCTAAGATGGTTCTTAAGCAGGGTTTGTTGCAAGATACTTGTTAATATTTTTGGCATTATCTAGACTTTTCCATTATATTCCCATTTGGTAATGTGGAGAGAACAAAAAAATACTAGCTACTTCCTTGACTTTTTGTTGTAGGGCTTTTAGATGAAGTTGTGTTGAGGATCTGGTTGGGAAGGTGGTCTCGGTTATGCCAAAAGAGATCAAGAGTTGGTGTATACCACAAAAGCAAAATGAAAAGCAGCTCTGAGATGAGATGTGCTCTTATCGTCAAACTGCAGAATAACTACAACCATGAAGTTAGAATCAATGCTAAAATGATGATGCTAAGTAATATACTTGAGTATTTTAATAAAGTGTGTCTTCTTAAAAAAAAAAGACTTGGTTTATAGCTTAAGTTAGCAAACTGATTACCGATAAGAAAAGAAAATGGTTGAATTAGAAAAGATTTGTAAAAAAAATATTTACTTGGCTTTTTAATTTGGGACTTTATTTTTTGGAATAGTTTTAGATTTACAGAAAAAATGGGCAGATAGTACACAGAGTTCCGCATTACCCTACCCCCCTCCAGTTCCCCCTACTATTCTCTGACATGAATATGGCACATCAGTTATAAGTGGTACACCAATATTATGTTATTTTCAATGGAAGTCCATGCCTGAGTCAGATTTCCTTAGATTTTCTCTGTCTGTTTTGTGTTCCAGCATCCCATCCATGATAGCACACTGAATTGAGCTGTCGTGTCTCATCAGGCTCCTCTTGGGCATGGCAGTTTCTCAGACTTTCTTTGCATTTGATGACCTTGGCAGTGAGGAGTCCTGGTTGGGTGTTTTGTAGGATGCCCTTCTGTGGGAATTTGTCTGATGTCTGGTTTCCTTTGAAGTACTTGTTATAGTGTCCAGTCCGTTTAGTCATGCTTAGGTGCCTAGAGGTATTTGCATCAGGAAATTGTGTGCTTAGTATTCATTTTGTCAAGGACACAGGGTAGCAGCTGTACTCTTCTGGGGGATGGAGACGGGGCTATGTAGGACTCCAGGCCATTGCTATAATAGTTGTGGGGTATTCCTTATTTCACCCACGTTTGGTGTTGCTTCAGTAGTATTTACAGGATTCGCTTTGGGGAGAATAGACATAGCATACATGCCTTGGGACCAGGAGATGCAGCTGGATGCCATGATTTCAGAGAGTAGAAAGGGTATTCCCTGCTGGTGCCTATAGAAAGCCCTTTTTGGGCTGCTGGTCCTTTTATTCCTATCTGGCACTGATAATTTAGTTAGCTTTGGGAATACCAGAAGTTGTGTCTGGGGAGTTATGCTGAGTGTCTCTGTAGCTCAGGAGGCTATTGTCGGCTCTTTTTGTTCATTTTATATGCACTGCAGGATTTTAAGAAGCTGAACAGCTCTTCACCGCCCAGTGATCACTGTGGATGGGCTCTGCAGATGGGAGTGTGGCAGGAGGCCAGAGATGGGAATGGATGTCCCTTCCTTGCCCCTGATAGCACTCCGCACTTCTCTTGACTTGTGGCAGCCCTTAGCCTACAGTCGTCATTATTAAACCACTCCTTTTTCCATTTATGATTGGGCTTCAAGAAACGGTGAGGGATTCAGATTCAGGGCATGTATTTTGAGTCCAGTTAGTGACTTTTTCAGTGTAGATTTCTGCTCCTGTGCCTTAGGTTATCTCTGCAGTGATGGCGAACCTATGAACTCATTTTTTTGGTTGATTTTTCTTTGTTAAATGGCATTTAAATATATAAAATAAATATCAAAAATATAAGTCTTTGTTTTACTATGGTTGCAAATATCAAAAAATTTCTATATGTGACACGGCACCAGAGTTAAGTTAGGGTTTTTCAAAATGCTGACACGCCGAGCTCAAAAGGTTCGCCATCACTGCCCTAGAGTGTGTGGTATGGTGGTGGATGTGTGGGTAGACTAAGTAGGAATCTGTAGCTGTGGAGAAAGTGAGCGATGTGGGAATATTTAGATTATCCTGATGAAAAGCACATAAGAAACCTCACTGTTACAAATGTGCTCTGTCACGGTGCTGATGTGCAGGCTTTGGGTAGTAACCACTCTGCATTTTACCTATTGCACAGTATGTGACCAGAGCCACTCTTATTGCCTCTTCCATGCCTCAGCTCTGGAGCTGCTTGTTCTCCGGACACTAATGACACCATTTACAGAGGAATAATAAGTCATAAATCCCCCTTAAATACACACACACGGACACACACATGCACTCCCCATTCACCCCTTCACCAGAAAGCCAAACCTCATTTAGCTGGCAGCGTCAGAGTGTGCAGGTCTTGAAGAGGAGGTTTCTAATCAGGGAGATGCCAAGCAGAGAGAGTGTGCTGCTGAGGCCGGAAATTTACAGCTTCAGGAATTCATTCGCTGCCGCCACCGCCGCTGCTGCTGCTGCTGCTGCTGCTACTGCTAACGCATTACAGGGGGTGACGAGCACCAGTAACTTGTCATAGGGGCAGGCTTAGATCTTCACATTCTATAATCCGGGGGTGAAGGTGTGAACACTGTGATACTTTCCCTGGTTTTATTCCTCTCTGAGCATGACTAGGAGAATGTCTAGATATTTCTCATGTCTTGATTATACGAATTTCTCAGTGTTTTTGGCAATTGACAATTTAATGAGTTAGTTTTGGTGCGAGAGGAATGTGTAGCTCTGTTCATCATTGCGATTTAGGAAATGTGTGTTCATTTGAGATGCCTAATTACTCTATTATCCTTTAGGCCAGTGGTTCTCAACCTTGGCTGCACATTAGAATCACCTGGGAATCTTTTTAAAATCCTGATTTCTGGGCCTCATCCTCCGGAAATTCTGTTTCTTTGTTATGGGGTGGGGCCACAACATTTTTAAGTTTTCATGGACATGTTTTTGTGATTGGGCTGGCATAAGGGGCTCTTTGATTTGATTTGGAGGGTCCTATGCCCTTTGGTACCACCCATACATAGGTAATCAACCCTGACCTTGACTTGGTCCTGGTGTGACCAAAGACCATGGTTTTGATTACCCTTGGACCTCACCAAGTTTTTCTGACCAGGTGAGTTATAGGTCCTGGCTGTTTGGTTTTGAGTGGTTAGCCTTTGTGATGATCAGATCTGTGGGTTTTTGCTGCTTTCAGGGTTGCAAGTTAATCTTAGGTATAATGCGGGGAGGATGAAGGGAGTCAAATGTATGGTAACAGAAGGAAACTAGACTTTGGGTGGTGAGCACACATTGAGTATATACAGATGTTGTATTATAATGTACATCTGAAATTTATATAATGTTATCAACCATTGTTACCCAATACATATAATTTTACAAATATATAATTTCCCACTCCCACCCCTTTCCTGCCCAATCTACTTAGGTGTTTAGACTTTCATTACTTTTCCAGTCACTGATCTGGTTTTCTGTACATGATTTCTATTACCTGTGGTCGTAAACCCACGGATGTCTCCATCCAGCAGCCCTACTCAGTCTTCCATGGATTTACAGCTCATTTCTAACTCTCATCTTTTTTCCATTCTTTCTGTTTGATGGCACTTTCCTCCTGCTGTTTCCTCTTATGTATCATTTCTTGCTTGCTTTTGTTTTTTGCTCTTCAGGTTGTCCTTTAAATCACTCTTTTTGGTGTGTGTGGCTGGTTCTTTGGCAAAAGGTAAAAGCCATTTTGGAGGAGTGTGCGAGTAAATGGGTATATTTGTTTTCAAAGATCTGAATAGTTAACAAGGGCTCTTTTATCCATAGCAAAGGAGAGTCTAGCTCTTTTTGTTTCATTTGGGAAGTTCTAGCCTCAAAATGCAGTGGCAGCTGACCCTGTAGTTTGCTTGGCTGTCTGTTCGATCCTGATGGGACCTAACTGAAGCCTGGAAGAGGTGGTTTTGATTCTGCCTGTGAGGTGGATGGTGACCTGTTTTGTAATCAGTAGCTACCTTGTAGCAAAGTGTTGTTTGCAAAAAGGAAGAAACAGCCCTGTAACAACAGGCTCGGAGTATAATTGGGTGAATTATAGACTGCTGGCTGAATTGTGGGTTTTACTTGAAACCTAGCCTGGTTTCAATGGAATTTTATTCTGTGCACATTAGTAGGGTATCCTGATAACCTCCACAGAGGAATATTTGTACTTTTGCCCTTTAAATAGTTATCCTTGTAAATTATCTCAGACTGGAAGTTTATCATTTTCAGCTGAGAGTGGGGTCCAGTGGCGCTGATTTGGGGCTCTAAAACAAAGATGACCATAGTAGTGCTCTGAAAACGTGGCTTTTAGAGTAGCTGAAGTAATGTCTTAGCAATTTAATGTTTCTCCCTCTGAGACTAACATCTTTTCCACGCTGAGATGACAATTCTTTTTGCCCTTCACTTGTTTTTTATTTTTCTGCTCTCTCTCTGGGCATCCTACTTTGCTTCTTTCTCATCTAGGGCTGGTACCTTCTTCTAATCCAGCTCTTGCCTCTTTTCCTAGATTCACATTGAGATATAGGGATTGATTTTAGTTTAGATCGTTTCCAGGAAAATCTTCAGTAACATGTAGAGACTGGATTTCCAGTTCGTAAGCTTTGTAGTTAACCACATGTCTTGGTCAGGGAAAAGATAAAAAAGATTGACTATCTTTGTGAATGCTATAGACTCCGCTCTTGGAGAAATCATAATCAGGTCTTTGGGGCCTGGCAATTGTAGCATAGTTTTTCGAACACTGTTGCCTCATGATGGATGATATTAGATCTGCCTCAGTGACTATTGATCTCACTTTTTTTCCCTGTGACTGGCGAAAGCCTTGTTCCATAGCATGTGTGCTGCGATTGTCTGGGCCATTGAAGTAGGTTTAAGCAGTTTGCCTTCATGTCCACAGGTGATGCAGGTGCTGAATGCTGATGCCATTGTTGTGAAGCTGAACTCCGGTGACTACAAGACCATCCACCTGTCCAGCATCCGACCACCGAGGCTGGAGGGGGAGAACACACAGGTAAGAAAACAGTAGGGAAGCAGGTAGGGAAGCAGTGAAGCTTCTCTTCAAAAACCAAATAGAAGGAGCTGGAGAATTAGTTAAATGTGATACATATGTCTGAAAATTCCAGAGGAAAAGTATTTTAAATCTCCAAAGTATTTCATAATATCTGAAGCCTAGCTGTTATTGGGCAGACCTCAGTTTGTCCTGACTCATACTCACTGCTCTACTTTATTATGGATGGGCACTGCTGGCATTCTTCCCTTGGGGGCTTGAGAGGAGTTACAGTTGGGATATGTGAGATGGTAGGTGTGTTTTATTAGTGAGATCTTGTTTCTCTGAGAATAAGGAGAGAGAAGGTCCGCATCTGACATGTGTTGTAGTGCGTCCCATTTCTGCTGTTCATTTTGATGAGATAGGCCCATTTGTTTTTGCTCTAGGAAGAAATGAATCTTGCTATATATATTCTCTGGGTTCACCTATTCATCTTTTGCAAGTGGTAACTATAATTATTAGTTACACTGTTTTGTGTTATTTGTTGGATCTTCTGGCGGCATAGGTGCTTACCTAACCAGTGTGGGTGATTTTGAGAAATTATCTATCTATAATAATAAAAGCATAATATGCTAATTAGACCAGACACCCAAACGTCCGGGCGTCCTTCCAGATGACCTTTCGGACGAAGCTGGCGCTGCGAGGGCCAAGCCCCTTGCACGAATTTCATGCATTGGGCCTCTAGTGCTTAGGATAAAAACTATATGAATTGGTAGTCTTCAGACAGTTTTGTTTTAAATTTTGAGGCCATTTTCTTCCCGTTGTTAGAGTTATGAGAGGTTGGGAATAGGGATTGAGGTTGAATTTTTTTTGTCTGCCTATGTGTTGTTGTTACAGATACCTTTACATCTCCTATTTTTGCCCTCTAATAACTAAAGTGTGCAGCTGTGTCGATTGGTCACAGAACTGGGCTCTCAGTGAGAGCCAGTGACACAGGCAAGTGTTCGGACAGTTTTCATAAACTAAACGATGTAACGATGTGGCTGGAATTGTGCTCTCAAGACGTGAAATTTGCTTTTTTGTTGTTTTGTAGGTCCACATGATTTGGTACACTTACAAGTTGAAATTCATGCCTTGTTTTCATTTGCATGAGAGTTTACAGACAGCCCATAAGAGTAAAATGAAAATATCATGATTGTCTTTTGAATCAGATTATGCATAAGAAACACATACAGGATGGGTTCTTTGAATGTCTGGCCAATCAGTTCATTCTCTCCCTTTTTCCCCCATGGAGGAGGCAATTTAATGCAGCAAACAGTATTGTGGTAACGTGGAGAATTTAAATGCCTGAAAGCCTAAGAAGTGCCCAAATAAGTTTCTCTTAGTAACTGTAGCTCTGCTTCATTGCACAGAGTAAATAAATATCTCCAATTTGATCAGTATTGGGAGTAGTCCACAATTCTGCATCTGTGCCATGCAGTTGGAATTAAGGTTCCCACAGCAACCACAACTTTGAAATTCTTGAACGTTAATTTTTGTGCCTGCATCATCAGCCAAATGCATTATGTTAATGTAGGCTATGTAGCTGAATTTTAAGCAGCTTTTGGGGGTTAGGAGTGTTATAGCTTAGGTAGGATGACAGCAGGTTTTCTGGAGTAAGAAGTGAACTATTACTGAGGGTTTTAGTTTTTCCAGGATCCTTTTGAACTCTTCAGGGTATAATTGGATAGATTTCCCCTAGCTTCAATGGACAATGAGAAATTGTTGGAATATATGTACTAGTTTAGGCTTTAGAATTCCTTGTTCTTTACCCCAAGGTAGGTGTATTCTCTTTCCCCCCCACCCCCCTCCTCTGTCTCCTTTAATTTTGCTCCTGAGAATCTTAGTCCATTTTCAGAAAGTTCTAAGTAAGGCTTATCTCTAAGGGTCTACAACATATGGCTTTTGATTGACATGAAGAATGATTTCCCTTCTTTGTTCATTCAATTCCTTTAGAGCAGCAGTTCTCAACCTGTGGGTCGCGACCCCTTTGATTGTGAGAGGGATGTCCGACTGCTGGTTTAGGCCCGATCCCCGTATGTGGGATCGGGCCTCAACCGGCAGTTGGACATCCCCCAAGGGGTCCCAGATTGGAGGCTGGGCTGAGGGACACCCCCCCCCCACTCCCACCCCAGTGCACGAATTTGTGCACGGGGCCTCTAGCAGATGTATAATATTCATGTAGGAATAAAAATCACCTGGAGATCCCAGTGAGGATATAATTATGTCTGTAATGACAAGGCAAACAGGCATCCAACTCCTTGGGGTCTTTGGTTTCTAGTATTCTTTACTGTATACCAACTGTTATTATCCAAGGGAAGACCAGTTGAGTACTCAAGATGTAGATATTGGTGCCAGAACTCTGTTAGCCCATATGGCACCCTTGTAACAAATAAGAGAAGGTTATTCCTTCCTCCCCGCAGCCTCATGTCAGGGCACATGGTTTGACAAACAAGGGAGGCTGAATTTCAGCTCCCATTTGCCCTTGTCCCCTTGGCCAGGTGCCCTTGAGCAAGGCACAAAGTGCCCAAGAATATGTGGCTATCCTAGTTAGAACAAGGCCGGTAGACTCTCCAATGAGAATGTTGAGGGTTGTTCAGGAATTGGGGGGTGATCTTGTAGTGGCAGAAACACAGAGTGCTTGAGGCCTATTTGGAGACTACGGATGGACTGTGGAGGGTGTTGAATAAAACACTCAGGAGATACCTTCCATCTAATTTTTGGACACTTTCTGGAGGTCACTGGCTTTAAAATGGAGAAAAAGATACCCTGACAGCTTATGGTATTGGAGCTTGTTCTGAGCAGAGTGGGAGAAGGTGCAGATTAAGAATCTGGAGGGGTAGGTAAGGAGGGCAAGTCTAGCTTCCTCAAGGGCAGGCAGATGGCGTGCAGTGACTCCCTACCAGCTCCCAGATGATGACCCAATGGGGCTTGCCCTTCAAGTAAGGAAGGAGAGATTTCTTTGAATGTTTATCTTCCCCAAACCCTAAAGCCTCTAATAACATGTCATCAACTAATATAGATCTACTGAGACATCTATATATTGTGGGGATAGTCAGGCAAATTAGATTTTCCTTTTTTTTGTACAGAGACCAGTTCATTTCTCTTGAATTATACATAGAAGCAAGAAGGTTTTGCCCTAGGCTAACTGTATACTACTACTTCCCTCTTTTGATTACTTTCTAATTGCAGCCAGAGAAAGGGCTCCGGACAAAACAGCACAATCAAAGGAACTGTTTTCACCCTCGGCAATTGCTTTCCAATAGTACTCTGTATTTCATTCTTCAGATTTTGGTTAGAACCTGATTTGTTGCTTCAAAGTATGACAGGAGTTAAAAGCAAGGGTGTGTAATAGAAAGAGTACAATTGGATGGCTGATGCTGCTGATGCTGATTCTGTGGCGCAGTGCTTTTGGATTATTCAGTATGAATCCAGAGTTGACTCTTTAGAGATGTTAACTCCTTCAGGCTGAGAGCCATTTTGGATGCTGATGTGGTGTTCCTGCGGTACAGTCTACGTTGGGATCCCAGGGGGATTGGTTCCAGGGCCTGCTGTGGATACCAAAATCTGTAGATGCTAAAGTACCTTATGTAAAATGGTGTAATGCCCTAACCGGTTTGGCTCAGTGGATAGAGCGTTGGCCTCTGGACTGAAGGGTCCCAGGTTCGATTCTGGTCAAGGGCATGTACCTTGGCTGTGGGCACATCCCCAGTAGGAGGTGTGCAGGAGGCAGGTGATCTATGTTTCTCTCTCATTGATGTTTCTAACTCTCTATCCCTCTCCCTTCCTCTCTGTAAAAAATCAATAAAATATATTTAAAAAAAAAATAAAATGGTGTAGTGTTTGCATATAACCTAAGCACATCCTCCCATATACTTTAAATTATTTCTAGAGTATTTATAATATCTAGTACAATGTAAAAGCTCTGTAAATCAGTTGTTATGTTTAGAGAATAATGGCAAGAACAAAAGTCTATACATGCTCAATACAAATGTAACCATGTAGGCCAGACTATATAGTACGTGTCAGCAAAAACAACATTTTTCTTTTCCCAAATATTTTTGATTCCTGGTTGGTTGAACCCACATGATGTTGAACTCACTGTTACAGAGGGCAGACTGTATAGTTGATTTTATCCAGTTGTTTGCTACAAAGAAACAAGTGCTAAGTCTTGGAGAAAGGCTCTGGGTTTCTGAGTTACTGCCTTAGAGGAGATAACACATTGTGCAGTCTCAGGACTTCCTAGAGAGCAAGTGGCTTTGATGTGAAACTGGAAAACCTAGTGCTCTATTGCCCAGGGCTGCTGTGAGCTTTGTGTTACACTTGCGGTGTTAATGACAATGGAAATACATACCCTTGGCATCCGATCAAGGTGCTGACTTACTCCTCCATGAAGCCTGCTCATGCAGTGCTATTGTAGTGAACCAGGATATAGGAGCTGAAATTTACCTTGAAAACAGGCACATCATTTACTCTACCCCCAGGTGTTAAGTGTACAAAGTGTGCTTTCATTTGCAGGGCTTTTCTCTTAAACTTCTTTCCTTAGCTTTTCTCTCTCTCTCTTCCTCTCTCTCTCTCTCTCTCTCTCTCTCTCTCTCTCTCTCTCTCACACACACACACATACACACACACCTACCTGCACCCCTATTCCTACCTGCACCCCGATCTACACCCCTTCAGCTTGGACCTCTGGTAAGTATGGGAAGGTGGAGCCTCTCATCTCCTAGCCCTGTGCTTTCACCTTGTACTCATTTTCATCACCCTCTCTTTCAGCCTCTTCCCTGTGAACTTATTTACCACATAAATGTTCTGTCATAGCAGGGTCTTTAAATATTCAGACCTGGGCACTAAAAGGTCAGTTTTATTAAAGCTGCAATCTGCCTGATCTTCCAGTGCCCTTGCTGCCTTTGGATGGGGAAGCTGTTTCCAAGCCTCACCCCACTGGGTCTTCTATGTAGGCAGTTGACGGTAGACGGAGCTGCAGG